TGTTTGTCAGAGTTAGGTAAGCGGAATAAAATGCCTAGAAAGTGTTGTGATACCGACCCTAGAATGGGTTGTGCTCCCTACTGCGTACCTCAGTACAACCTACAATGCATATATATAGTTTGACACACCCCCATAGGCGAAGTGAGGGACAACAAGAAATAGCAAGAAACACAAATGATCACAAGATCAGTCAAGAGAAGAAGCAACACAAAGCTCATGGTGGATCACGAAGTCACCACACAGTCTCATCACAAGCAAGCGGCCACAGGGTCAGTTCAAGAGTTCACGGATATACATAAATACAAAGACAAGCAGAGAAAGAAACAAGAGATATGACTACAGCAACCGAGGGCCTGCCTCAACAAGGCCTAACGTCATACAGAACCTGTGGTGGTCACCAGGCGGAAGGGCCTTGGTGAAGATGTCTGCACTGTTGGCCGCTGAGGCCACAAACTCCAAACGTGTTGACCTGTCACTGCGACTCTTCCTACGCCGACGGCGTGGAGACCCAGAGGTCTACTCAGGGGAGATCTGGTGCTGTGTCGTGGAGGTCTACTCGGTCGTCGTCTGTGGCGCAGTCTAGCGTTGAGGCCGAGATCTACACCGGTGCTATGGCTCAGAGTTAGGCAAGCGGATTGAATGACTAGCAAGTGTTGCGATACAAGTACCACCTTAGGATTGGTTGTACTCCCTACTGCGTACCTCACTACAACCTACAATGCATATATATAGTTGATAGTGTTGTACTCTATACAGTGCACCTCGTTGTAGCCTAACAGACACAACGCAAATATGAATATAGTTTGACAACATCGCCCACTTCAATTGACAGAAAACTGCTCGACACAGTCATACTTCACTATAAAAACATATTAGATTGCCTTGACAGAGTGTTATGAAAAGTGAAATTTTTTTAGGCTGGAGGTGTTATATTTTGGAGGGGTTTTCTTTGCAGGGGTTAACGGTGTGAAGATGGCATGGTTACTGTATGGCCCCGGATATAAACGCAAGTTTATGTTAAACTCATGCGCTTCTAATTGGAGCACTGCGCTTATGGCCAGAACTCGATTTTAAGCACACCCCTCTAGAAACTGTTCTCATTATAAGAGTACCCTGTTTTTTTATCCAATTGTTTTATTGATTCTAACTAATTACAAGCCATTGAGCCCTACCAGGTCAAAAGCTCCTACTGAAGCTGATTTTCATTAACCATTACACGGCCTTTCAAGGATTCTCTATGGGGGGTTTAGCTCCTCTAGCTAGCCTAGCCTAGTGATGCATTCAGGGGAGGTCGTCCTTCTCGTCAGACTCGGGCTCCGGGCAGTTGTTGCCCCATAAGCCACATGCGGCGACATCGTCGTCGACGTCTACTTCGGCTGTCAACTCGCTCCTCCTGTGCGCCATGGCGAGCTTGTCCTCGCTCCCGTCAAGCGCGTTCCCGATGCCGCAGGTGAGGAAGGCCCGCTTGATGAGGTCGGCGGGCACTTCCTTCCAGGCCCGGGAAATCCACCTGAGGGCCACCTCAAGTGGTGGCTTCCTGATGTTCCCTGCACCACAGGTAAGGGACGGGGGAAGCGGTCAGAACAACGGAGAGAGGATAACCACTCGCGTGCAAGGATCGAATGTGGGTCTATCTCACCATCCTCCTTGAACCAGCTCTGGTACTGTTGGCGCACGCTTGCCTTAAACGAGCAGTTTATCGAGACTGTACCTCCGCCGTACAGCCCCCCGGGATCACCGGCGGCACAATGTTGAGCTCCTTGAACTTCGCCTTCAGCAGATGACCACGGTAGGATTCGAGCACGAGCATCGCGCTCCTAGTGCGCACTCCGAACCGGGGCTTGATGAAGGGCTTGATGCCCTCATCGAGCCACCGCTTGACGCCCGCGGCATCCATCCATCCGTTCTCGTGGACCGTCACGATGACATCTGTGCATAAAAAAAAAACAGGTTGTTAGTTTTAAAAGAAAGTAAATTCAAGCATCAGACAATAGGAACAAATAACAATTCTTACCAGGCGGTGAATTTTCCGTCGGCACCGTCTTGCGCTTGAAAAGCACCCGCAGTTTCAGTTTCTCCCCCGTTGTCGTGCAAGCCAGCATCACCGTGACCCGTTTCTTCTGGTAACCGCCACTCTTGATAGGCACCGACTTCACGCATGCTTGATCCAAGGTGGTGGTTGCCGACATCTCCAGCCACAGCGGCGTCTGGTTGGCGTTGATGATCCAGCGGCTGTTGATGTCATACTCACCACGCTCGTCACGGACGTACTGCCAAAATTTCTTGCACTGCTCCGCAACATCTGTGCACAGGGAGGAAAGGGTGCAGAGAAGAGCAGGTTAGTAAATTAGTTTGAATTCCATAGAAATAACAACGATATTAAGCTACGGGGTAAAGAACAACAAGGAAATCTAAGGCAGGATGCCACTTACGCTCGGATGTTTTCTGGGCCACCTTAGTCTTCATGCGCACGCTCAGACTCCACCGTTTGCGGAAACGGTCCGACCATCGTTGGCTACCTTTCCCCTTCACGTCCGGGAAGAGCACCTTCTTGAACTCCCGAGACCATTCCTGCAGACGACAGACCCTTTGCGCCGCCAATCGAGGAGCTGCGCGTACACCTTAAAGCTGTGGCCTACATACCTCACGCGGGAGGCCTGAGTTTATCACTTGAAAACCAGGTTGCTGTGAGCTTCAGTGGCGAGGTGCGATTTCTGATTTGTGACCTCCGCAACCGCCCCCTGAAAATTCGCACTCTCAGGATTGGCTCATCAGTTTCGCCAAACCCCATTCCCAACCCTGATTTGTTGTTGGTTTTGACGAAAAAGCCAAACCAATCCAACCTCTCGAAACGTTTGAGGATTCGCCGAGGGTTGTTCTCCCACCCGAGTTTTTTTTCACGAAACTGGCGGGATTCGTTAGTCTTGTTTGACCCCTTCGCACCCCCATTTCAGGACAAGGGTCACTTCGCAAGCTAATCAGAGTGCGTCCTAGGGTGTCCACGCTAATTGTCCCCCAAAAAAACATTTATGAATGTAGACCGCAACTTTAAGCTCCTTCGGCCGAACCACGAAACTCTGCCGCGCCCGTGCAGTCGCTTACGTGGTTGGTGAGAGTCTTTGAGAAGCTGCGCAGCTCTCTTCCACTCGGCCAGACACTTGCGGTGGATGAAAGACCCTCGCGCCACCTCGCTCACCGAAGCCGCAACCTCCAGGCGCACGAGCCACCGAATCTTTTCTTGGGCAGTATAAGCTTGACGCTTATGCTGCATCGGCTTGTGCCTAGGAGAGGGGGGGCGGGCATCACGATTCTCAGAGGGGTGGGGACGCTTTTGGTTAAACGGCGGAAAAGATGGAATCGGCACCTTCTCAGGAAAGCCATCGCGCGACCAGTACTCGACGCCGTCATCGTCCTCGGCGCCCACACCACCCTTGGGAAACACATCAACCTTTGCCTCCTTGTCGCCCTCGACGCGATGCTCGTCGTCGGCGGCCACATCGTCCTCGGCGCCCACGGCTGGCTCGTCCCACTGGCACTCTCCAGGCTCGCCCCAACATGGTGCCGGCGCCGGAGGTTCGATCCACTCATCTGGGGGCTTCTTAGTTTTCGGTTCGGACAGGAACGCATCGAACGCCGATGGCAGCAGGAGCGTGAGGACGGGCCGATTGCCTGTGTATGCTGGAGCAGGGGGATTCGGAGGAGCAGGAGGAGCGTGAGGCGCCGGAGGAGCAGGAGGAGTGAAGGGTGCAGGTGGCGCAGGAGGCTGTGGTGGCTCAGGTGGGACACGGCTATACCAGCCGCCTTCGTGCACTCGCCACGCGGGTCTAGGACGCTTCTTGATTAGGAAGTGTGTGCCTTTGAATTCCGCCATGGCTTCCGCAGCCATGAGGGAGAGGGAGAGAGAATGAATGAAAAATGGAAAACTGGGTGCACAATGGGCAATGGAGGGGACCTCGTAGGGTTGGCGGCTCGGGGTCCTCGTCAGTGAATGACGAGAAACCCCCTCCTGAACCTGCAGAGGACCCTGCAAGACACGAAATCCGTTGGGTTAGCAGGGAATATTCGACCCTCTTCTAGAGGGTTCGGCTCGATTACATCAACCTGGCAGCGCATGACTATGTGATTGGGCCGCAAGGTAGCGCTAGCAGGTTCGATGGTTCTGGACTGAATTGTGCGGTGGGAAACCGAATCGCGGCCATTTTCTGACAGATTTTCATGCACATCTTACGCAAACAACATTCAGGTGTGTTCGCCTAATTGAGAGCTTCATTTTGGTATCTGTAAAAACATATTTCATTTTCGACGTTTTACACGCGCATGCGCTTATACGTTTTACTCAATTAGAAGCGCACCCCCTAAAAGAACACATTTTATTATAAGCGCACCTGCGCTTATATCCGGGGCCATACAGTAGATTGACTACTGGTACATTGACAAGGTAGGGTTTGAGCCCTACCGTATGGTACCATGATTTGTCAACATTCGGACCTTTGTAGTACAACCCCTGCAGCAGAGAGTGCTGCTGCAAGTTCCTGTGCCACTATCGGCTTCCTCACTGCTCCATCCATCCCCACCCCCAAGCATGCTCTCTTTATCCCTGCATCCAAGTCTGCAGTCAATGCTATAATGCAAAGCCGCTGCCGGGATGCACTCGTTATCGTGCCTGCATCACCTATGGTTGGATCGGCTAGTTCTTGTATCTCCGCAGCACTCGCTTGCACACTCGTCTGCTGTGCGTCTTCCATGGCCCGCACTCGACGAGCTGTTTCAAATCTGATGTACCCAGACGGCCCAATAGTGGCGACAAGAGGAATAGATGAAGACGGGAATAGAAACGTGCGCAGAAAATAACAGTCACAACAAATGCATTAAGCAGTTGGCGGGATGTGCTCAGGACAAGGGAAAAACGCAAACAGAGACCAACAAGGGCAGGAATAACAACTACAGATTGATATAACCAGAATGCAAACAGGTCGCAGCACAGAGAAGACGTGAGAGGCTCAGCAAGGCACGGACCCGTCGATCCCGGGCGGCATGTGGAGGTCGAGGAGCAGCAGGTGGATGGGCGGGGAGGGCGTGGCAGATGAGAGCGCTTGCAGCGCATCCTCCCCGGAGCACAGCAGCAGCACGTGCGCCCCGTAGCCCTGCAGCGTTCTGCGCGCCACCATGCGGTTCACCGCGTTGTCATCCACCACCGCCACCCGCCGCCCCGCGACCGCCCCCCGCACCACCCGCTCCGCCTCCCCCACGCCCTCCCCGCCCCCCATTCCCCTCTCCAGCTCCACTTGCGGACACGTCTGTGCACGCACCAGCGCCCGCCGCGCCCCTGCTGCTGGCCGCTGCGGTGGTGGCGGAGCAGGTTGCACCGAGGCAGCGGCGGCACGAGTCAGAGCAGGAGCTCCACTGGCTAGCTCCTCCTGCGTTCCGCTCTCTCGCTCCTCATCAGCACCTTCTAACTCGCCAAATTTCTCTCCATTCTCCTCCCCTTTGCTACCAGCGTTGTCCCCTCCGCCCATGGGCAGCGCCAGCAGAATGGTGGTGCCTGTGGAGGCGTCTGACAGCACTGCCATGCCCCCCCGCATCTCCGCCACCTGCCATGCGGGGAGAAGAAGAGTAGGGGTGAGTGGGGGTGTGGGGAGGGGGAGGGGGGGGGGGGGTTGGTGGAAGTGAAGGGGGTGCAGGAGTAGCAGGTAGGTCAGTAGTGAGGGGAGAATGGAAGGTAGGCCAGCAGAGAAGGGAGAGCAAAAGTTGGGTAAGAAGAGAGGGGAGAGTGGAAGGAAAGCGATAAGTCAGAACAGAAGCTTGTGGAGGACAGCGGGAAAGATTCACTCTCTGTGCAAGGAAGATCGAGCCACTTATTAGGGAGCTGAGGCGCTCACAAGGGAGGTAGAGAGCAGGAAGCGAACAGGGTAGGGCGTCCAGCGGGGGCCAGCAGCTGCCTTGCGATCGCGCTGCAACGGATCCCACGTGCTGCGCTCCCTTTGCCGCCCCAGGCCCTTCCACGAGTCTGCCCTTCCCAGGCCCTTCCATGACTCTGCCCTCCCCAGCGACCGTATCCTCTCCTGCCATATCACAACCAAGGAAAAGAGAAATTCGCACTTCAACTTCAGGAGACGGTTCGCAGGTCTTGTAAGAACTTAAGGTAGAATCCATGCAGCAGACATAAGCTCAAGTTTTTTAAGAAGATATGAAATTCATATGAAATTCTGAACAAAATCGGCTGAAATCTCCAATTTGTGGGTCGAAATTTGGGTAAGGTTGGGATGTTAGTGTAAAAACTGGAGAGTAAAAAGGCACAAGTACAAAAGTTGAGAGTAGCATTAACAGGTCTCGCATGCTAATCACATCCATTAATATGTAATCATATTGATATTGTTGACGCTTTACGAAAATGGATGTATACAAAACAACAGCACAAGCCTGATGCAAAAACGAGATCTCACCATGACTTTATGCTGCCCGTTACTGTGCATCTCGTGCGGTGATTGGTAAGCGAGGCCATGTGGGTCCAGCACCCACTGCATCTCCTCGGGTGGTATACCACCGCCCGTGTCTTCACAGGCCACCACCACCATCCACTCGCCCTCCTCCCTCACCGCACACGCCCCCTCCACCCACTCCCTCACCTCCTCCAACCGTCCACCCGCCTTCTGCCTGTCCTTTGCACTGCCCATGCCGACTCTGCTGCACGCCTGCCCACTCGCCTGCCTCCCACCCACGTTGCCAATCTTTCCCCCTGGGCTGGCTGGGCAGCGCCGGGGGAGGCAGAGCAAGTGGGTGGGAGGAGGGAAGCGCTGCACACAGCCGGCCAGCTGATGCCACGATGAGGACGCTGGGGGGGACTCAGAGGAGGCTTGTGTGGCGCCCGTGGGAGCAGCGGCTGAAGGTGGAGGCGAGCTGGCGGCACGTGGAGGAGGGATGCACCAGAGGCGGATGGCTATGTGGCCGGCTGCCGTGTTGTTCATGGCACTCTCTGCAGGAGGGAAGGCCGTGGTGTGGGGGTTGGGTGGGGTTTGCGAGCATTTGGCGGAGTGGGGAGACAGAGGAGGGGGAAGAAAGAGGAGGGGATTAGCTGCCAAGCGAAGGTGGAAGAGAATAGCATTCTTCTCTACGCCCAAGCCCTCCACCGCTTCCCGCTAGGTCCCTAGTCTAGCGCCCATTTAAAGCCGGCGGCCCAAATTGTTCATGATTTTAAAAGTTGACCAGAGGGAGTTTTTCTGGTGTGGGCTTTGGCGAGAGTTTCCGATTTCGTCTAGGTTCGTTTTTTTCGCGAGACCCAGCCAACCCTCGGTTTTCCCCCTGGTGAGTGAATCTGTCTTCGAAAGTCCCAAATTGCAGGTGCGTGACTTTCAAAAGCTTGGACACTCAACTTCGTCAAGTTTTAAAAACTTGACCCTCGCGGCCCGCAATTTGGGGCGCGGGCTTTAAAGACTAGGGTCCTCCACGGCCTTAACATCTTTCCCAGAGAAACATCCACATTAAGGTTGCCCTTGCAATGGCTCAAACCCTTGCATTAAGGAACCATACAATGGACTCAAACCCTTGCATGGCTCTTAAGGTTGCCTAAGAGAGCGTTGTACAGTGGGGTGGGACCACGGTGCACGTGATGGGACACGCGGAGCCCGTCACCACCTTGGTGCAAATACACCCCTTCTCGGCCTTTGGAATCGAGATGCGCATTGGGCATACTCCACCCGCTTCTTCATGGTACCTTAATCCCCAAACGTTTGCGGGTGGGCCCCAATCGGCCGTGGTGTCCACGCCAGCATAGCACCTCAAAGCGCGACTCATCCACAAATGCATCCGCGCTCAGCATAGCGCTTTGTGGATTGACTCCAGCTCCACAAGGCACCTTTCTTTAGGCGCCTCAAAGCGCGACTCATCCACAAATGCATCCGCGCTCGCGCATGATTGATTGACTCCAGCTCCACAAGGCACCTTTCTTTAGGCGCCTCAAAGCGCGACTCATCCACAAATGCATCCGCGCTCGCGCATGATTGACTCCAGCTCCACAAGGCACCTTTCTTTAGGCGCCTCAAAGCGCGACTCATCCACAAATGCATCCGCGCTCGCGCATGATTGACTCCAGCTCCACAAGGCACCTTTCTTTAGGCGCCTCAAAGCGCGACTCATCCACAAATGCATCCGCGCTCGCGCATGATTGATTGACTCCAGCTCCACAAGGCACCTTTCTTTAGGCGCCTCAAAGCGCGACTCATCCACAAATGCATCCGCGCTCGCGCATGATTGACTCCAGCTCCACAAGGCACCTTTCTTTAGGCGCCTCAAAGCGCGACTCATCCACAAATGCATCCGCGCTCGCGCATGATTGACTCCAGCTCCACAAGGCACCTTTCTTTAGGCGCCTCAAAGCGCGACTCATCCACAAATGCATCCGCGCTCGCGCATGATTGACTCCAGCTCCACAAGGCACCTTTCTTTAGGCGCCTCAAAGCGCGACTCATCCACAAATGCATCCGCGCTCGCGCATGATTGACTCCAGCTCCACAAGGCACCTTTCTTTAGGCGCCTCAAAGCGCGACTCATCCACAAATGCATCCGCGCTCGCGCATGATTGACTCCAGCTCCACAAGGCACCTTTCTTTAGGCGCCTCAAAGCGCGACTCATCCACAAATGCATCCGCGCTCGCGCATGATTGACTCCAGCTCCACATGATTGACTCCAGCTCCACAAGGCACCTTTCTTTAGGCGCCTCAAAGCGCGACTCATCCACAAATGCATCCGCGCTCGCGCATGATTGACTCCAGCTCCACAAGGCACCTTTCTTTAGGCGCCTCAAAGCGCGACTCATCCACAAATGCATCCGCGCTCGCGCATGATTGACTCCAGCTCCACAAGGCACCTTTCTTTAGGCGCCTCAAAGCGCGACTCATCCACAAATGCATCCGCGCTCGCGCATGATTGACTCCAGCTCCACAAGGCACCTTTCTTTAGGCGCCTCAAAGCGCGACTCATCCACAAATGCATCCGCGCTCGCGCATGATTGACTCCAGCTCCACAAGGCACCTTTCTTTAGGCGCCTCAAAGCGCGACTCATCCACAAATGCATCCGCGCTCGCGCATGATTGACTCCAGCTCCACAAGGCACCTTTCTTTAGGCGCCTCAAAGCGCGACTCATCCACAAATGCATCCGCGCTCGCGCATGATTGACTCCAGCTCCACAAGGCACCTTTCTTTAGGCGCCTCAAAGCGCGACTCATCCACAAATGCATCCGCGCTCGCGCATGATTGACTCCAGCTCCACAAGGCACCTTTCTTTAGGCGCCTCAAAGCGCGACTCATCCACAAATGCATCCGCGCTCGCGCATGATTGACTCCAGCTCCACAAGGCACCTTTCTTTAGGCGCCTCAAAGCGCGACTCATCCACAAATGCATCCGCGCTCGCGCATGATTGACTCCAGCTCCACAAGGCACCTTTCTTTAGGCGCCTCAAAGCGCGACTCATCCACAAATGCATCCGCGCTCGCGCATGATTGACTCCAGCTCCACAAGGCACCTTTCTTTAGGCGCCTCAAAGCGCGACTCATCCACAAATGCATCCGCGCTCGCGCATGATTGACTCCAGCTCCACAAGGCACCTTTCTTTAGGCGCCTCAAAGCGCGACTCATCCACAAATGCATCCGCGCTCGCGCATGATTGACTCCAGCTCCACAAGGCACCTTTCTTTAGGCGCCTCAAAGCGCGACTCATCCACAAATGCATCCGCGCTCGCGCATGATTGACTCCAGCTCCACAAGGCACCTTTCTTTAGGCGCCTCAAAGCGCGACTCATCCACAAATGCATCCGCGCTCGCGCATGATTGACTCCAGCTCCACAAGGCACCTTTCTTTAGGCGCCTCAAAGCGCGACTCATCCACAAATGCATCCGCGCTCGCGCATGATTGACTCCAGCTCCACAAGGCACCTTTCTTTAGGCGCCTCAAAGCGCGACTCATCCACAAATGCATCCGCGCTCGCGCATGATTGACTCCAGCTCCACAAGGCACCTTTCTTTAGGCGCCTCAAAGCGCGACTCATCCACAAATGCATCCGCGCTCGCGCATGATTGACTCCAGCTCCACAAGGCACCTTTCTTTAGGCGCCTCAAAGCGCGACTCATCCACAAATGCATCCGCGCTCGCGCATGATTGATTGACTCCAGCTCCACAAGGCACCTTTCTTTAGGCGCCTCAAAGCGCGACTCATCCACAAATGCATCCGCGCTCGCGCATGATTGATTGACTCCAGCTCCACAAGGCACCTTTCTTTAGGCGCCTCAAAGCGCGACTCATCCACAAATGCATCCGCGCTCGCGCATGATTGATTGACTCCAGCTCCACAAGGCACCTTTCTTTAGGCGCCTCAAAGCGCGACTCATCCACAAATGCATCCGCGCTCGCGCATGATTGACTCCAGCTCCACAAGGCACCTTTCTTTAGGCGCCTCAAAGCGCGACTCATCCACAAATGCATCCGCGCTCGCGCATGATTGACTCCAGCTCCACAAGGCACCTTTCTTTAGGCGCCTCAAAGCGCGACTCATCCACAAATGCATCCGCGCTCGCGCATGATTGATTGACTCCAGCTCCACAAGGCACCTTTCTTTAGGCGCCTCAAAGCGCGACTCATCCACAAATGCATCCGCGCTCGCGCATGATTGACTCCAGCTCCACAAGGCACCTTTCTTTAGGCGCCTCAAAGCGCGACTCATCCACAAATGCATCCGCGCTCGCGCATGATTGACTCCAGCTCCACAAGGCACCTTTCTTTAGGCGCCTCAAAGCGCGACTCATCCACAAATGCATCCGCGCTCGCGCATGATTGACTCCAGCTCCACAAGGCACCTTTCTTTAGGCGCCTCAAAGCGCGACTCATCCACAAATGCATCCGCGCTCGCGCATGATTGACTCCAGCTCCACAAGGCACCTTTCTTTAGGCGCCTCAAAGCGCGACTCATCCACAAATGCATCCGCGCTCGCGCATGATTGACTCCAGCTCCACAAGGCACCTTTCTTTAGGCGCCTCAAAGCGCGACTCATCCACAAATGCATCCGCGCTCGCGCATGATTGACTCCAGCTCCACAAGGCACCTTTCTTTAGGCGCCTCAAAGCGCGACTCATCCACAAATGCATCCGCGCTCGCGCATGATTGACTCCAGCTCCACAAGGCACCTTTCTTTAGGCGCCTCAAAGCGCGACTCATCCACAAATGCATCCGCGCTCGCGCATGATTGACTCCAGCTCCACAAGGCACCTTTCTTTAGGCGCCTCAAAGCGCGACTCATCCACAAATGCATCCGCGCTCGCGCATGATTGACTCCAGCTCCACAAGGCACCTTTCTTTAGGCGCCTCAAAGCGCGACTCATCCACAAATGCATCCGCGCTCGCGCATGATTGACTCCAGCTCCACAAGGCACCTTTCTTTAGGCGCCTCAAAGCGCGACTCATCCACAAATGCATCCGCGCTCGCGCATGATTGACTCCAGCTCCACAAGGCACCTTTCTTTAGGCGCCTCAAAGCGCGACTCATCCACAAATGCATCCGCGCTCGCGCATGATTGACTCCAGCTCCACAAGGCACCTTTCTTTAGGCGCCTCAAAGCGCGACTCATCCACAAATGCATCCGCGCTCGCGCATGATTGACTCCAGCTCCACAAGGCACCTTTCTTTAGGCGCCTCAAAGCGCGACTCATCCACAAATGCATCCGCGCTCGCGCATGATTGACTCCAGCTCCACAAGGCACCTTTCTTTAGGCGCCTCAAAGCGCGACTCATCCACAAATGCATCCGCGCTCGCGCATGATTGACTCCAGCTCCACAAGGCACCTTTCTTTAGGCGCCTCAAAGCGCGACTCATCCACAAATGCATCCGCGCTCGCGCATGATTGACTCCAGCTCCACAAGGCACCTTTCTTTAGGCGCCTCAAAGCGCGACTCATCCACAAATGCATCCGCGCTC